ATCATAAGTATAGACACACTTTGAAAATTTAGCAGAAAAGACATTCCTTTCTGCGAAAAGTTACCATTTCACGAAGGCAATAACTAACAACGACTATCCTGCACCAATCACCAAATGCCACGAGAATCTCATCCATCCGACGAAGAGCAGGCTCAGATTAGCGCCCTGCACACAGCAGGTCTGAGCAATCGTGCAGACGCTGGCAGCTGCACCGTTCGCCTTTGGTTGTCAGTCGGTATCTGCGTGCGCCGGAATCCCATGAAGGCAACAGAAGATCTGGTAGGCCGAAGAAGCTCATTGCCCAAGACGAACGCCAGATTGGACAGCTTGTCTCCAACTCGACGATCAGCGTCAACGGCGTTCGAGCCAGCTGACCGACTCTCGCTTCCAAAATGACGGTATGGAGGGCGACCAAACGCAACAGCAACATTGCGCGATGCCGTCTTTGTCTTCAACTGTCTGCCGAATTATCGAGTCTTACAGAGTAGGCTCGCTCGCAGTCTTGTGCAGAATTGATATCAGCAACAAATTAGTCAAGTTGCGGTCGGGCTTTTACTATGCCTAGTCCAACGACGAAATTTTCTGTTTAGGTGGTGTTTTCCGATGAGAAGGAATCAAACCTGGATGGTTTCAGACGGGTACACGTATTACTTGAGGGATGCTTGGCAAGAAGGTAGAAACTTTGTTTCAGTCAAGCGTTGATTTTCGCGGAGGCGATGTGTTATGGTTTGGCTGTGAGGAGTTCCACTCTTGGGAGCGGCAAGCTCGAACTAGCCTTCATTCCCACGAAAAAGAACTCAGTAGACTACCAGGACATGCTTGGGCGACACCTGCTGCCATTTGTCGCTAGTCACGGTAGAGGAGAGTTCGTTCGTTTCACAAACAGGACAATGCGGCCAACCACGTGAGCAGGTCTACTATGGCATGGTTGGAGGAGAGAAATTTAGTCACTATGGATTGGCTCGCTTGTTTTCCGGAATATAAAGAACATCATGGGGTGTACTTGGTCAGGGACTATTTACCAGTCAATGGACGGCAGCTTTCTCAAATGTCGCGGACCTCCGGACAGCAATCAGCCAGGCATGGGTTCGTTTGGATCCACAGCTGCTGAACAAACTGGTCGAGTCCATACCAAACCGCAATTTGAAAGCATTATTCAAAAAATGGGTAACGCGAACCAATGATCATATGAAAGGCCTGTTAGTACGTCTTGTTTCAATAAGAAAGGTTCCGGGTTTTTGAAGTGTGTCTATACTTATGATACGGTCTGAAAAACTGTTCGAGCGTCCGAACAACCTTATATTTTTCAACATTGACAGATGAAGTTGTGAATTACGGTTTTCGTAGCCTTCTCGATTACCGGTATCAAAATGTTGCCATGGAAGTCTGTTCAAAATCCTTTCTGGACGTTTTTGGGGGTGTGTCTATACTTATGATACGCACTGTAAGATGAATTTCTTCCCAAACGTCTCAAATCCAAAGTCTGTGTCTGAAGGTCAAGCTCTACTGCCCATCAACAAGCATGTATCGCAACAAAATAAGCCTCAAGAAATTCGTGCCCTGTGATCGTAGGCTTCTGCTGCGGTGTAAAGCGTTCGCTTTGCAGGTCTGACCCTTCGCTGAATTTCTATCAGCTGAGTTTACAGGTACTCCCGAACCTCACTTCGTCATTCGAACCGTAGGCTCCCGCTCTGAAGAGCTAGCGTCGTGGAAGATTGTCTGATGACTGTAGACATTGTCCTTGTGCAGCTCCATTATTTCGGCGTCGACAGCTGCCATGCTGGCGCCAGGGTGGTAGAAGAAATAGTTTAAGGAAGCGCTTGAAGGGGTCGGTGCTGAAGGTAGCGGATAACATTCTTGTCCATAATGCAGAATAAGGATGAGCAGTGACACTAATAGAAAGATCAATCCTTAATGTATAAATGCTCACATTACCGGTTAGCCCTCTTCAGGTAATAGGCGAATACTTGGGTTCAAAAAAGTATGACAGAACTTTCCCGCCAACCTAATAGGTATGAAACAGGCAAGCCGTAACCGATGGCTTGCTTACTAGACAATATGGAGCGGCAAAAGTGGCCCATCTGGATTACGGATCCCCCCCCCCCCTTTTAGTATGGGAGGGATTCTTCTAGGTATACCTCAGAAGCAAAACAGTTTCAGGCTCTTTCTTTTCCATCACAGACTTAACACTTACTACTCCTACAATTCTAGCTGTCTACGAAAACATTACGTTAACTTCGTGCACGCAAAACACGTATGTGAACTACAACGATGAGATTGCAGCTACAATTAATCAGTACAAGAAGAATGTCACTACCGACACGGACAATGTCTGCAAGTAAGATAACCCTAACTTCGACCTTGTTTCAATTAGGTTGCTCAGTTTGATATGATATCTCCAATATCTGAGATTTTGCAAGGTATGCTCAAAATCTCATGGATTCTATGGGCTCTGTCTATCGTAACGGTGCGTGCAGAGGTCCAACAGCGGTAAGCTTGTATAGTTTTTTACCGCATCATACGTGAACTCCGACACATTCCCTAAGCATTCAGAGTGACGCTCAATGGTACGGTTGTCAGTCAGCCCGTGAATATACCAATGCGCAGTTCAAGCACTGCCAGCATTCAACCACTTGCCAACGTAAGACCTACAAATTATTGTCGAGCACTCCGTCACCTACAGTCGTGATGCTGGAGCGCGGCGGGGGTTGCGTGTGGCGCGGCACCTGACCGTTTTCCATCAGTTGTCGTCACTTCAACAGTGAACAGGCTGGCGCCGCGTCAGACTCAGCCCCTCGAAGACGCCCCAGCATGCATAGGACCGTTTCAACTGCTGGCACCGTCATGTTAAAGGGGTGCACAAAATGCTGAAGTTCTTTCGGTTTTGAATTTCTTCCACTGTGTCTCAGATGTTGGAGATGTACGTCCGTAAAATACTTTT